CGGATGGATGGATTGATGGATGGATGGATGGATGGATGGATAGATTGCTAATAGAATGAAGTTTTCTATCAAATATACTTTAGCATTTCAAGACTGTTCTAGAAGAGATGTATGAAAAGCAGTTTGAAAAGTAGACAAATACTTCTGCAACCATTAACTTTTAATGAATTTTAATTATAATCAGTACAACAATTAGTCATCTTAGTAATTAGTGATTAAAGCTAAAATTTTATTCTCTCATTGTTATCTTATTTTTCATCAGCGATATTTCAGAGAGGTTTAAGCTTGTTGATAATGTGTAAAAGTTGACGATAATAAAATATACTGCAAAGAAGGTAAATTAATTAAGACTAAGCTAGATCAAATCAATTAATAAGCTTATATTCAATAGAAAATATAGTTAAATGCAGGAAAGTACTGTAAATATACGGAATAAATTTTGATTATCTGAGATATCTGAAAGGATTGTTTGACAGTAGCTTCTGTACCAATTTAAGACTAGTATTTGCCTAGAGTACGTAAATGTAGACAATGTTTAGGAAGTAAAAGGGTTATTCTAATTTTTTTTATCAATTAGTAGAAATCAACGCTTTGTTATTTTTATCCAATGTAGATATATATGTCGTTTACTTGTAAAAGTATATACGTTAATTTTTGTGCTGAATATTGTACTGATTATAATTACTGGATAAAAACAGCAACAACTCTAACTCTAACTCTAACTCTGAGCATTATTATTTACATAGGAGATAATTTTTTGTGATTTGTAAAATTACAGACTAAAAATTTTAACAAAACTTTTGGAGTTGCAAAAAATACGTGAAAAACATTAGGATGCAATCTCTTCACGTATTTTTTAAGAAAAATTTCATGCGTATTCATAATTTTTGGAAATGAAATTTCTGTTTATGCTTACGTATTTATATATTTTTGATTTTGGAACATATTAAGTGTTAATTTGATTGCAAAAAAGTAAGCTGCAGTCACAATTCTTATGACAAATAACAAAGTCAATATGTGCAAATAGAAAAATATCGAAAAACAAGCATGTTAATCTAAATATGCACGTATTCAGCTCAACTAAATTCATGCTACTTGTAAGCTATACAGTTTTCATATTTTAGCTTGCAATTTTTGTATTCTCTAAGGAAAGTAGACAATAATTATAAAACCAGCTTCATACTGTATCAGCCTAGGTGTCATTACAGAAGATAATTTGCAATATAGAACTCCAAGTCTATCATAAAAGATACTACTTCACTGCATACTTTTATAGCCTTGCAAATTATATCATTAATGAAAACTGTCAAAGCAGTTGATAAATCATAGGAAATAAATCTGTATAATTTATTACAAACAGTAATTAACCATGAATGACTGATTCGTTAGCACAGATATATGATGTGCAAACATACACAATAAAAGCAATACATCTCTGGTGAAGACTTGCTCTTCAAAATTTATTTTGCGTTAGTTAGCCTTCTTGAATGAACTTCTACACCTAGCCCTGCTGTTTCTTTATATTTCCTGGTCTAGGCCTTCCAATAAATTAAAAGATAAGTACTTCTTTCATCCCAAATTGCCTTTAGACTTTGTATGTGTTGTCAGATTTGCTGAAATCTAGCAAATAAAGAAGTCTCAATTTTCTTAATCAAAGAGTCTCAAGGTTCTTGAATTCAACTGATTGAAACTGAAGTTGCTTTCTTGCTTTTATTTTATCACAGCGCTAACATATAAAAAGTAGCATCATGACATTCTGCAAAATTAAGGCTATTACTGTCTTCGCATTCTGTAATTCACGACGATATTTTTAACTTTATAGAAAAACAAATAACAGACTAAAGGCAAAATAAGAAAATATCACAGTTAATGCCAAAATGACAGCGTTTTATTCAATTCAAGTATTTTGACAACTGAATTCATTCGTACGCACTTCAGTCATACTTTGACTTGAAAAATTAATGTCTCAAGTGCAAAATTAAGCAAACATTCCTTAGACAGACATGGAATAAAAAATGAAATCAGAGATGATTAATCTAGCAATATTATACATTCCGTAAGCAAAATACTTACTTTACAATAAAAATAATAGCGAATACAGTTAATATTACAACGGAACATCAGATAGAAAATTTGATTTGAGCATAATATAGCTTCCATGTCAAAGTCACATCGCTTATTGATCGCAAATTCGAAGAAAAAACGTCCAGTAGTGAAAAAACAAAATTAGAAAGTTAGGAAAATCTAACTTCATTATTCCAGACAGAGTCAAAACTCATCCTCTTTGATAAATAATAAATACTAACACCCAGAAACTTCTTTCAGTAATATTTAATACAATGCATTGCAGATATAAGAAAAATAAGACAGTTATCCTTCAGCCCATAATACCTTGTAAATAAGATGGCATCTTGATTTTCATAAACATTCGAGTAGACAAAAAACCAATAAGAACGCTGGCAAAACCTAGTCCTAACATCATTATTCGATCCAACTTTGGCGTTAACGGATTATTACATTTATCAAGTATAATAAAACCAAGACCTAAAAAGATCGACAAAATTAGTGACACAGATACAGCTCTTAAGTATGAATATTGGAAGGCTGTTTTTCAGCTTTGTATTTGCACTGCTAGATATATTCGAATGAAATACTTAAATGTGAAAAATAGCATTAACATACAAACAAAAGGATAACGAATTACCTCCCAAAGAAAACATAAAGCTTGCAGCTAAGCCTTCCATAATATACTGTCCATTAATTCGATATTGCATTATAGCAACTGGTTTTGCATTGCCTCTCTCATCCGTTGTTTGTCCTGTAATAGGACTTTATGAACAAATTAAAAAGAATTCCATAACAATCAACACATCTTACGATACTTACCGATGCCTGGAGGCTCATTTATAATATCGTAGATGACACCTCCAGTAACAAAAAAGTAAGTAACCATCACTAGAGCAAACACCTGCATTGGTGAAGGCATCTGAAATAACGCTTAAGAAGAATGGAAATATAAATTTTATACATTCAAATATGACTCAAGATGACTTATTCCAACGTATTAATCTCAAACTATTCCAGCATTAAGCAAGAAATAACAATGAAAGAATTCTAAGACATACTTTGAGCCATCTTGGAGATAATATTCTGACATTCGGTGGGTCAATAAATGAGAACAGAATAGTCTCTACAATCGTATCCATGAACTCCTCAAATATTTTAAACGAGATCAGAAACAACTTGAATTCATGTGGTATTGCTAGCCAGCAAAATTAACTTATTTGAACTCTTCTGAATTTGAAAACTTAACCCGAATAAGAATCTACAGAACAAAAGTTAGATTCATGAAAGGCTTTCATTCGATGCAAACAGTAATGGAAAACGTGTATATGGATTCAACACCAAACGGATTCATATACATATATGTATGGAACTTTCATCGAGAGAAAAATCCCAGTACTTCGTAAACCCAGTCATCAATATAAGCGAATGTCACCACAACAAGTTCATTTTACCATGATAACCTTGCCGATATGGTGATAAAATATAGTCACAAACAAAATAAAAACAGTATTTTATTGTCAAATACGAGTGTGGAGACGAGCTGTAAGGTATAATGCAATCTTTTATGCAACTGAAATGCACATCACTAAATTAGAACCAAAATAGCAATACTTTAAAAAGCAAAACACTTCATATTATTTTTCGAAATCAATTTCCCATGTCTGATTAATACAACCAAAACACTGATTTCGAAAAAGAGACTAATTCATTTCTTTCGAAAAATCACTAAAATTTCAAATGATACATCTGATCAAATAGATTCTTTAAAAAGATATACAGTGCATTATTGCTACAGAAGTAACATCTAAAGTTAAACTATTTTCTCTTTCATCAAACCACGTATACGGAAATGTAACCAAGTGAATGAGATGAAAATAAGGAAACAAAGTAATAATTAATGCAGAAAGCAAACAGTACGGTGTTAAGATTATCAAAGATGTATAAGAAATGACGTTAAGGCGAAACACATTTCAACGGCGATATCTTCAGATCCTATAAAGGATATTCTATCTTCAAGAAACAAGTTATTTCACATATTCAAGTTAATTTCAATACTTTTATTAACACTTTAATTTCAAAAGCAATCATTGTAATCTAATTTTCATGCTATTCATGTTGCAAGATGACTGCAGTAACAATCTGATGATGATACAAACCTGTTTAAAAATTAAACATACTGATAGCTTGTAGTACCTAGAAAACACTACTTTTCAACTTTTAATCAAACTTTTGTAAACTGCACGATATTTAAACTTTAGAACTAGGAAAATTACAACACTTGTGACTCTATGTTTCTAGTACTCAACTGATCTGATCTTACTTCTGTGACACTGCCATCTGGGGCAGCAAAGTAAGCTTTTTCTGCTACTCCAACAAACAAGCCTGTTTCAACTACACCTGGTAATGAAATCAAACGCATATGCAAAGCTGCCAGATCCGTCGTTGTAATATATCTATTTTTTGGAAAGTTCCAATCCAAAATGAAATTATTGTTATCTGTAATAACAGGACCCAGTTTTTCCTTACTATTTGTTCTTAGTTCCAGTTCTCCACCCTCTTGAAGTTTTATCCACCTCATTACTGAAGCATATCTGTAATTAAGCATTACTACTAAGCACTAGAATTGAAGTTACTCAAATAAAAGTTGATAAAACAGATGTAAATGGTTACATATCAAATACTCAGCGTTATTTACAACACATTGAGAGCATAAATCTCTCTCATACGTTGAATATAGTATGCAAATACAAAATTTAGCAACGCAATTTATAACTTGATTACAATAACATTCTTACACTTTAAAGCTTACCCAAATGGGATAACTTCGATTGGAATAGGAAAATTCTTATCACCCAATATTTTGGACTGCTTACTAACATCGGCAATAATATAGAACTTTTTGGCACTTGTTTGCACAATTTTTTCTTGAGTTAAGCATCCACCGCCACCTAAATGAAGTATTGTACCATTTTATACAACAACTATTTATACTTTTATTCGTTTATAATTCTAATCTTATAATTACTATCACAAAAAAATAAAATAAAATGCATCTACCAACAACTCAGAAGAAAAAATATAAAAATAAAACAGCTTACCCTTAATACAATTTAAATTAGCATCAACTTCATCAGCCCCATCAATACATAAGTCCAGATCTGGTGTATTTTCTAGATCAGTTACTTGCAGACCAGCATCAATAAGCCATTTACGTGTAGAAAACGACGAAGGTACACAAGCAATATCCTTCAAACTACCATTCCCTACTTGCTCTGCTAGATATTCAACGAAAAACTTTGCTGTTGTGCCACTACCAACACCAACTGTGCATCCACTTGTCACATGCTGTTTACCAGCCGCATATGCAGCTGCTTTTTTCGCTACATCGAGAGACGAACGTGTTTTCATATCATCCTAACACGTACTTTTTACAGGCATATAAACTGCATAATCTATATTTAATGCCTAGAAAATTATTCTCTCTTTTTAAATCTTTCAAAATAAAATATTATTCTCCAAAAATAACTTACGTATTCTAACTATTTATTCTCCATTAATTACCAAAAAAATGAGATATAATGCAATCATTTGCTTTCCTTTATGAAACTATGTCTCTTTAATAAGTAACAAATCGTTCATACGACAGAATAGTCATCTCTTAGCTTCCACTATGGAATGTACCTAAACTCAATTATTAGATATAAATTTTCATTGTAAACATTTCATACTACATATCTCATAATTTTTAACTTTTTTTTCAAATAATAAATTTTATGATAAAAATGTAAAGAGTACAAACGAACCATGTGAAAATTCGCTAGGTAGCAGAATAAATAAAGCAAATGATAAGAAATGTAGTTAGTTCACAACGTAAATGAGCTTCACGATGCAGAGCAGAGAGTATGTTACAGACTGTTAAGCCTATTTCAAAAATTAGAACAATCATTGCACCTATAATGATAGATCTTACCAACCCAAAACGATAAAATAAAATGATACAGCATAATGTATGCAAGAAAATGATGATACAACAAAACCACTGCCAGTATCTATATATATGTTATGAGAATTCACTCCAAAACTATTCTGCAAAAAAAAATAGAACATAAATGCAATCATTCCACCTGTCGATAGTTAATCAATCACTGATCAAATTCCCAACTATCTCAACAAGCACTTTCTCTGTCTGATTTAAAATATGCTGCAGATGCTAGCGTCCTAAGCTATCAATAGTAATAGTTGAGAGATTTTAATTTTTCACAGAATGAACTCTATATATTCAACAAGCAACAAGTGGAATATCGCACTTTGAGATCTATATTGTCGAATAAATACTCAATCCCAATTAACTTATATGCATTAAAAAATTGCGCATTAATTTATCGGAACTAGACAAATCTTACTTAAGTGGTATTAGACATCTTAAATTGTATTACTTCAAAAGTATAGAGAAGACAGGAAGCAGATTTACTCAAACTGATCGCTACGTCCACACATAATGAGATAACTGAAACAACGCATCTCTTCCACTTCATATATTTATACATACAGTCACTGTCGATAGCTTCCCTGTAAAAAGCAAAATGTCAGAATGGAACACTGACTACTAATAACTACCATAACCTGACATAATCTTGCCTGCTTCTCTCCATCTTTGTTATATTCACTTTTTGTAAGTTAAATAAACGTCATTCTCTCTTCCAATAAGGTCTTAGCCTCCGCTATACAACATTATTCATACAAAAAAAATGACTGCGTTGTCGTTCATCAAAGACACTGTACAAAACATAGCTATGTATAATGATCTGGTATTTCTCTCAACACACCTTTTATGTAGAAAGATATATTTCATACAGTTTGGATTAGCATAAGTATACAAAAACAATAAGAAAGTACATATACATAAATATATTTATATATTACTGTTCACTGTTCGGAATGTTCTAAGGTTGTACTCTAATGAATAAAAAACGAAAAAAAAAAACTAGTCTTTACAGAAACAAATACTGACAATCAAAACGTACCACAAAACGAGATATAGTTTAAAAGCAGAAAACAATTCTGCACTGCTTTCAACAAAAATAGAGATAAAAACGGATGTGAGTGATAGATAATATCTAAATTCAACATCATGAATCATTTCATTAAACGTTTCGTTCCATAACTGACATCTGGTCATTATGGCATCCCTGAAAACCTCCTCTACGTCGAGGTGCTCCAGGGCAAGCGACAGATGATGACGACTCCGGAGTACTCATGCCAAGCATTCCTTCTAATGCATCCATTGCCTGAGCTGAACTCGCATCACCATCAACTGCTAATCTGGAAACTAATTCTTAATTTTTCCAAATAATAATTTTAACAAAAACATAGCACCAATAATCATGATTACATACATTAGCAGCTTACTCCATTAATTCTCAGATTTGTAACACTCAACTGACAAAAAAAATGCCAATGCCACATTTACTTCAATTTCGTGCATTAACTGAGCTAGCTTTTCAATGCCTCATTTACTTTTTTAGCTTTTCAATATTAAACAAAATACAGATAATTTTTTCGTCAGTTCTCTACGAAATTTACATTAAAACATAGACGAAAATGCAGAAGCAATTTCACATCTATACTGATTTTTGTATATTCCTTCATAACAATGCAACGTAATTAGAAAGAATTGTAATCTGTACTTTGTTGCTGTTATATTTTCTTCAGATTTGATGGTAATTTAACATGTACCATTTTATCTGCAATATTTCAAACAAAACTGCATACTCAAAAAAGAAAAAGTAGGTACTAGGCAATTATCAAAACTTTGAAAAAATAGTTTCATTTAACTTCAGCAATATACATACGATAAAAAGATGCACAAAAAGTGAAACAGAACAAAAATAAAGTGATTGAATTCAAAAACAGTAGAAATCGTAAGCTAACTTTCCAACCTGTATCGATGGCAAGCATCCACTGGTCGATTTGTCTTGGATAAAAAATCGCCAAGTAAATGATGAAGGCGACTGTTTACTGTTGTCTAAAACACTAATTAATAATAAATTGAAATAACCACCGGTATAGTAAGCATGTAATATTAAAAACTTACTTCGGCTTGTTTCTTCAAAAGTGCGATTGCTTTGTCATAATTCTGTGTTTTATCATACAAAGTTACAAGAAGAAATACAGCATCTAATTGATGAGGTGAAATAGCTATGGCCTGAAAGTACACAAAAATTAAATTGATGACTGAAAATAGAATTCTATGACGAAAATAGAAGGTTACAGTAATAGAAATAAAAGGTTACAGTAAACTGACCTTTTCCAAAAGTTTCTGTGCATCTTTCACTGTGGCTTCTTCTTTAGCAGCTAATGTAGCACAAAGATACAATGTTCGAGCATTTTCTTGGCCTAGAATGTGCCGACAAGTGCAAGCAACAATTCGTGCCTGAAACTCTAATTTCATCAAATAAGAGATATCACCAAAATTTATGAAAACCTAATTCATACCATATTCCAACTGCATTGTTGTTTAGAGCACAAGAACGACAATTATTTACATAAAGTTTTAATAACCTCCTGAGTTTTATCTTGAAGAATGAATGCTTGAACAAGAGCTTCATAAAGAGCATAGTTAGCAGGATGAATAACTAAAGCATCACGCAAATTTGCTACAGCTTCATCAAATTTTTTCCTATCCATCAAGATATGTGCCTTTAGTAATACAGCCATAGGATGAATATGCCATTTTGACAACTGACAGGCCTGAATGCATATTGGTATTGTCAAATAAAGAGCAATTTCAACCATATTCTTCATTACACCTCAATAACATTCATAAATAAATGCCAAAAATTAAAAGTTTACCTTCTGTGCAAAATGCAGTGCCTTATCGTACTTTTTTTGACACTTTGCAAGAAAAGCATACGCTACCCAAGCTTCAGGAGATTCTTGTGCATCCATTAGAGTACCTGCTAAGTTTTCTAAGTCTTTGTAATTTCTTTCCTGCAATCGTGACATAAGATTAATTCAAAATCTAAAATATGATAGCCTCCATGATTTCGAATGGCAAAGATTCTTTATTATTGAAGGATGCACTATACCTGGGCTAAAATAAATGCTAATATATCCATAGAATAAGAAGTGCTTGGATCTAAATGATGCACCCGTCGTAAATACAAAGCTGCCTTCTGATTTTCCCCTACAGTATAATGTAATCTACCAAGTTCGGTGATTATTCTGAATTTAATGCAGAAAATGATGAAACGAAACAACAAACAACCCAAGTACAAAAACCAATCATTTTAAAGAAATTAAAAAATAAATCCGAGAGAAAAGAATATAAAGGAAAATAAAAAAAATATTATTCTAAATGCTCACGAATTAATTAGCAATGCAAAAACAAACTGTTCTTGTTTTTTGTATAAGATTTTCTTATGTTTGTATTTGTATGATTACGAATATGGTTTACTTTAAATTTACGGGAGGTAAACTGGAAAGAAGAGCAATTGCTTCATAGTGCCGTTGTTCGGCAATAGCTGCTTGTGCCTTTAACCAAATTTGAACAATGGGATTCTGATGGCAAATGTTTACCCTTTCCTTCCACCCATATCTTACGATGCACGATAACGAATCAATTGCTTCAGGACACAAATCAACAACTTTCCTGAAAATTTGATAATACAGCTCTCATTCCGGCTGATAAACAAGTACTGCAATCTTTGTAATGAGTTCATGATGTCACAATCAAATTTTTTGAGGGAATAAGTTTTTAAGAAGCTTACTTATGATATATCATAGCATTTCCTACAGTTTTCACTTTATCACGACATGTGTAATCATTTGAAGGTACATGATGCAATCGAGCCAAAGCTGATATGGCCTGAAACTAATTTAAATGCAGAAATTAGAGCTAAATAAAGTGCTCTTATGCAATTATATCTATAGTTCCATCTTTGAAAAACTACGATATGTGACCGAAAAATTTTCAGCCTATTCTATTTTTTTTACAAACTGAAAATGAATTATAGTAAAGCTTGTTTACTTTATTGCGATTATTAGGACGGAAATGATCTCGGAAAAGATTTTTGGCACCACACAGTTACCGATTATTTCTAAATTTATTGCAAACAACAAAGAAATGGAATAGCAATTAAAAAATATTTTTAAACACATTAAATTTTTCGTGCGTGATACTAATAAACAATGAGATATGAGCTTAATTTATATATTAATGTTAATTAACATACTTTCGGTGTCATTTCATTTTCAGCAATACTACCCAATACTCCCATTGCCTCCTCTCGCTTGTCCTGCTTCAATAAGCAACGATGCAGTCGAAATTTTAATTCGGCTTCAGTAAATTTCTGCAAATTAATCCAAAATTTAAGTGGACCAATAATAAAGAAATAGAATGATTCATTCCTGTATCCTTTTAATTAAGATTTTAAAAATACGATACATACCACATCTCTTATTTGTGATCTTGTTAGTGTTTTCGTTAGAGTAATCGCCCGATAAAAAATCTGAAATAACACAAATACCGCATAACTGTCCAATAGCTTCGCTAAATATGATATAAACAAAGTAATAATTGCAGCTTACTTCTTGACTCTTGTTAAAATTATCAAGTTGGTAGTAAGATTCAGCCACCATTGAAACTACATTTGCTTCTTCAACACTATTCAAAAGTTGTCCAGAATAAGATAGCTCATACAATGCTATGACATCCCAATAAAGCTCAAAATCGAACAATTTGATGATATCTGCATAGAAAGAAGACATATCTCCAGTACCTTAGATTTGAGCTGAAATATAATTGCAGAAAAAATGCAAATTCAAAACATATCACTAAGTGGTTATCTTTTAATAAAGATCAACATACTAATCACTGAATTAAACTAATTGATAGAGACACATTTCCATGTTCACCTTCCACAATATTCAGAGAATCAGTAGATATTTTATAGGAAATAGTATTAAGAGCACTTAAGTTCCATCAACTTCCCATACACACAATTCCACAAACACGTTCAGATTTAGCAACTTCTGCTATATCACTAAATAAGACTAATGGGAATAAAATGACGAATGAACTAGGAAGAGAGCTAAAACTTCCTGCATGATATAATTACCTTATTATAGACATTTCAAGATAACTCGAGAAAATGTCGTTTTCCATCGTCGGAATAATTTTATCCTTACTATCCTCAACGCGTTTTCATCAAACGATTTGCATATTTTTATGCATCAAAATGAAAAGGGCACAATTTAATTTAGATAATACAATATGATTCAATCAATACATGTATGAATCTAACTAATAAGTAAAAGTTTCGAAGCATTATTGAACTGAAATTCTGCTACCAAACATCGATAATTAAAATGATTACTTCTATCAAAGTGGAAATAGTCACTGAACATGAAAGACACCTAAGAATGAAGAATAAAACCCAACAGCAATTAAAACCTCAAATGCTGAGATATAGAAAGGCCCATAATAACAAACAATTTTTGACTTACGTATTAGAAGCAAATCATAGAAGATACGATATCAGTAATGCAAGTCCACAGATGTGAAGAATGTTAATAGCGTGTACGATGATCACGGAGAAAGTTTAAATAAAAGTCAAAACAACAGCAAATTTGCATTTGTAGAGAGAAATCAATCATTTTCGAAAACTTTCTACCAGCACTTGTACCAAAAAAAGGAACAAATGATACTAGTGTTTCAATCAGTAGTAGTACGAAAGATGTCAAAAAATATCAACAATTCTGAGACGAGAAGTGAAGTACAAATAATGAAATTATCTACCAGAATATTCTACCCATAAGCAATTGCAACGCATAATCCACTTTTTGTACAGAAAGTAACTGTTGAAGAAAATTGAAATTATAAAGCTAAAACAAGTGGAATGAAATTTGATTACATTTATGTTATATGATCAATACATGAAATATCTATTTGATAACAGAAACAATTCGTATTGAGCCACAAAAATTTTTAATTTCTCGGTAACTGACTACTTTTTCTTTTACGAGCAACAGTTTGCCTTGAATTAAACCAACGACTGAATCGTAAGGCACTGTTGAACGATACCTGATAAAGTTGTTCTTCAGTGCAATCAATCTTATGTGACTTTATACCTAGATGCAATCCACAATTTATTACCCATCCCGAACGTTGTAAAAATGTATACAGAGCTGTTTCCGATAGCATGCGTCCTTCCATAGCTAAAAAGCAAATTTATGTGAATTAAATAATTATTTCGTAGCTGACTTTTAATGGAGAATGAATTTTTATTTGATCCCTACATAATCAAAATTAATAACAATCACAAAACGGTGATATTTCTAATGTATCTACGAAAGATACATGTTGCATCTAGCCATACACAAAACACTTAACTTTAAAAAATGACCTGGAATTAGTTTTGCGATATGTTTGCATAGAATAAAATAAAACTGATTCCAATGCATGATATTGACATGCTCTGGTGACGCTTGCAATACTTGCATTTGTATTGAACTGAACTCGGATGGAGGTATAACCTGTATATTACTCTTCAGATACAATGCATTTTATTGCAGTTTCATTAGGTTTAAATGAAATGCAAACATACCTTGAGACTTGGCAAACTTTCAACCATGAAAAGTGGTAAATCTACGCGACTAATGCTTTCTTCTGTATCAGGAAACTTTTGACCCACCAAATTGAAAATCTCTTAAATGCCTAATATAACATGTGACAATAACAGTAAATATATAAAAAACTAAAAAAAAAAAAAAAAA